CTTTTCATGCTACAGTTCTGTAAGGGACCATATCTTAGGCTGTCTTCTTGTCTTGCTTCTCCATGTCCTGGAAAACCAGGCCAGTGGCTCCATGCAGTCATACCATTAAGTACCATCATTCACCTAAGAATTAGAAATAATACTTTATGACTTATAAAGTGATTTCACATCCCGCTTAATGCTTGTGCCAAATATCCAAATTACTGGCAATGCTTGGAAGGAAATAATCCGTCTTTTGTATGGGTAACCTGACAAACCTAAGTGCACACGGCAGCGATAGGCCCCATACCCCTAGATCTTTGAATTAGAAAATACACCCCAATAACTGTAGAACGCATTGGGAACCATGGGTTCTTGAGGGACAAGACTGTATTTAAAGCACATTCCATGTCAGGTACAGTATGAAATATTTTCTGGCCAGAGGCCTTGACTGTACAGTTGAAACTAGCAATGCTAGAGAGTCTATGGTACAGAAGATGGCATTTTTATATTGTTTTATTTGGTGCTTTTGCAAAATAGACACCAACCTCATTGCTATGCTCTTTTTGTTATGAATCCTACTGTGTTAGCAATTGCATGGTTGGTTAGATTAATGTATGATAACGAGTCAGTGTTTGAAATGATGAGGCTTGTCTCTTGTCTCTTTCTCTACAAAATTCTAATTTGTACTAAGTGGTTCAGAACACTCAGATTTGAATTATTCTGTTTATGCAAGAAGTCATTTATTAAATAAAGATGTTGTTAGCAATTTTAAAATCAGTGGTTTGAATCAGCTCTGCTTTTTGGTTTGTAGACCGAAAAGGTTTAGTTGCTTTGATGAAATATACTCAACATCTCTCCAATTTTATTATAAGTCAACTGCTAATGGAAAGAAAAACCCTACTATAATCCAGACATGTTATTTAAGGAATAGTTTCTATGATTGTTTATCATTGAAAAGCATTAGACCACGTATTTGTAAACTATTACTTCTTAAGCATATATAGCCTTTCAATTATCCAAGTATCTAAGAGCCTCTCGGTCCTACAGGCTGATGCTGTCGGTAATATTTCAGAGCACTGAATTGTGCAGTTACAAAAAATTAAATTTGAACTTGATTTATACTCAAATATAACTCATTCAGAGAAATCGAACGGATTTTCCTTTGTGCATAAAAATGTATCATAAAATGGCCATCTACCAATTAGATAAGAAGCCAGAAGGTATATTCTTTTAAAAAGACTAAAGCTTATTTCATAACAAAAATGAAGTGAGTTTTTTTTTTCCATTTCAGTGTAAAACCTGTTCTGAGCCAAAAAAGATAACCAGTTCATCTGCCATCTATGACAACCCCAATCTCATCAAACCAATTCCAGTGAAGCCCAGTGAAAACCAGCAGCAGCGCACGCCTCAGCCCAGCCAGGTACAAAATCCGCTGCTTTTCATACTCAGTGTCTCTGTGGGGTTCCTGACGAGCTTTGACCCAGAGCGAGGTCACGGGAGGGCCTGGTGCTGCTGAAGAATGCTTTATGACAAATCCAGGAAAAAGAGATTTCAAATTAGAGATTTTTTAATGATTAATGACTTACTCTTCCCAGAAAAGGGTTAAAATTTTTACTTTTGGCATTTACCACATTCTATGCTACTCTCTTGTGGACTTGAACTCCTTAAAAGATAATGTATTTTTTTAAAAAGCCACAGGTGACTACTAACATTGTTAGAGGCGACAGGAACATTACCCATTGGGTCCATATTCTTCTGGGGTAGGTGCTTTCCCAAGGCCACCGACAGAACCACCACTGAGGCAACAGAATTGAGTTTGCCATTTCCGAGCGCTTCCCTGATAAGCGGGCGCAGCACTGGGCGTCGTGTCTGCAGAATGGGGTACTGTTGTCCTCAGGGAGCTGAGTCTGAGGAGTGGTATCAAATTCCTCCGTTGACCTGATGACTTCTCGCTGCATTTGCAATCTAAAATATAAACATTATAGCAGCTTTTATATCAGTATATATATTTTTCAGGGTAGTACAGCAATAACAAAAATTGCTAATCTGAAGGTCCCATTGTTGATTGTAAACATAATGTGGTTGTGTCATTTTATCGTGGTTATTCTTAATTAAAGAGGCTTTTTTTTTTTTTTACAAAAGGAATTAGTTCAAATCAATTGTGAAAATGAACACAGAGCCAAAATACCAGCTAACGAAAGTCTTACATTGAATTTTTAAAAAAGAGGTCTCTTCTAATTTTTTTTAGCTCTCTCTTCATTGTTTGCTTTCCATGGAAATTTTTATTATATTCTAATAGACCAGAATATGTTGACTTAGAATGAAGATTATGTTTTCTCAGTGCAACAATGCAGAAAGCAACGGAAAGAGGTAGAGATCTCACGGAGCAGGAAGGAAGCGGCTTTGTATCTGGCCGGAGGTGGACTCTCTGTATCTGATGATTTTTTAAATGCTACCAGTATATAGTTGAAAGGATCAAATGAGATTAAATGACTTATGTTTCTTGCCAGCCCTCGGTTTCTATAATTCTGTGAAAAGCTCCCAGGAGTTCTGAAATCCTCATATTCCTGTGTATTCTCAATACCTCCTTGTGATCTGCAGGGCTAGACAGATCCCTAGTGAAGACATTGGTTACCGTTTAGTGTGTATAATTTCATACCACAGTGGTTCCCAACTGTGAAACCCAAGGCCCTTCGAGGATCATATTTTATCAATCAACAGATACGAAAATATAACAACTGTCCTGGGGATGGTGGGGGAGAATGCCGTGAAAAATTTGACATTAAAAAGGAACTCTCTAGGCCGGGCGAGGTGGCTCACGCCTGTAATCCTGGCTCTCTGGGAGGCCGAGGCGGGCGGATTGTTTGGTTCGAGACCAGCCTGAGCAAGAGCGAGACCCCATCTCTACTAAAAATAGAAAGAAATTAATCGGACAACTAAAAATATATAGAAAAAATTAGCCGGGCATGGTGGCGCATGCCTGTAGTCCCAGCTACTCGGGAGGCTGAGGCAGGAGGATCACTTGAGCCCAGGAGTTTGAGGTTGCTGTGAGCTAGGATGATGCCACGGCACTCACTCTAGCCCGGGCAACACAGTGAGACTCTGTCTCAAAAAAAAAAGAAAAAAGAAAAAAAAAGGAACTCTCACATTTTTAAAATTTCTTATAATTAAGTTTGTTATCCTCTCTAATCCATCCTTTGTAAATAGACAAAATCATTAATTAGGCAAGTTACGTTTCATAGCCCACCCATATAAAAAAATCGTATGTGGACCCATTCTCAGGTATTTTTATTTTTTCCAGGTCTTAGACTCTGAGCCTCAACACTTATCCTTGACAGCTCTGTTTGGGAAGCAGGACAAAGCGACATGTCGGGGAGCCATGGGGCTTCCACCGTCCCTCCACCAGCAGCAGCAGCAGCAGCAAGAGAAGTTTGCAGTCAGGCAGGGGGTTGTGCGCTCCCTGTCCTATGAGGAGCCCCCCGTGGAGAAGCAGCTCTGTCCGGCCATTCGGAAGCTCATGGTCAGGAGCGCAGACCTCCACCCGCTGTCGGAGCTGCCTGAAACCCGGCCCTGTGAAAACGGCAATACCCTTTCTTTGGGGGGAGTTTTTACTGGCCCTGTCCAGCCGGGGTCCCCCCACAACACTGGGGTTTCTCATGGTGTGCAAAGCGCTTCCAGAACTCGGAACCTGTTAGAGAAACTCCAGAGCGCCCCGGGGGCAGCAAACTGCAGCAGAGCCCCCACTTGTGCCACCCCTGTGGCTTCGGGAAAGGGTCTGGCTCAGCCGCCACTGGTCTATTTCAATGGCTCCCTCCCACCTCAGACACTAGGACGTCAGGCTCACAGAAAGGAGCAGTGCACGCTCCCGAGACAGCCACTGCCCCTCTCTGGCGATCAGACTAACAATTCCGGAGTGATCTCCCCTCGGGAGCTACTGAGGAGGCTTCAGCTCGTGCAGCAGGAGCAGCAGCTGCATGCACCGAACCGCCCGTCCTTGGCGGCCAAGTTTCCTGTGGGCACTCAGAGCTCCGGGACAGGGCGGCCCCTGGAATCCTGGATCAGCAAGACATCCAGCACAGAAAAGCAGACTCCTCTTTTTCAGGTGAGTTTCTACTGGGGGCAGGGAGTGGGGGAGAAAGGAAGAAAAGAAAGAAAAAGTGTGACTGTAATGCAGTGAAATTGAGACTCCACTTCTGTGCTCCGGGGACCGTGTGTCCCAGACATTTCTGTTGAGAACAGGGTGCCAAAGGCCACACCTGTGCGTCTCGATTGCCTTCACTTTCTGCCTGGGGGGAGAATCTTCATTTAGCTTAGCAGTCTGGGAACTCCCCCTACCCCTTCAGAGATAATTTATGTGTAGAGTTAAATCTTCGTGATGTTATAATGTCTAAAGACCGCCATAGACAGGGAGAATACCCTAGCCTCTGACTGTGGAAACTTGATCTGCTTTTAAATCATTCTGGGATACCAAACATCTGACCTGTTGTTTTTTCAGTACACAGTAAATTGTTGTTTATTCATTTATTTAGTAAATATTTTTGAGCATTTACTACATGTCAGGCACGATGCTACTACGTGTGGGTACATAATGATGAAGGAAACAGCCTCCCTGCCTCTGGGGAGCCCACAATCCTGTAGGTTTTGGAACTAAACAGAAAACATACTAACTCCTTAAAGGAACAGCCTGTTTTAATTTCTCTCTCTATCATCAGTGTAGTTTAATGAAAATCAGAAAATCAGAGAGGGATAAATATGCCACCCACCTCCGTGCACCCCCACAAACTGGCAGAGAGGGGAAAATATTGTAATATTTAGAAATTTTCTCTCCTTTAGAGAAGATGGTTCTCTATATCCATCAATAACTTGTAGCAGTGAGAAAACCACAAGCTATTGACCGTCTGCCTGTGGGTAACATCTGGAGACCAGACTCTGAATTGTTTTCCCTTTGGGTTGATACAAATGGATTGCAAATGCATTGAGTTTAAAAAATTGGAAAGTTCTCCCTACCTATCACATGTATCATTGGCCTTTTTGTTATGTGGCTTTAATAGTTCCTTAAAAATCTTTCACTTTTTAGAAAACAGGGATCTTAAACATGTCCTGTACATCTTTGTATAGGTGAGACCCTGAGTCAAAGTGTTGTCCTGTATTATTTATTAAAATCCCAAATCTGAGTCCCTACCTATAGAAGTGACATTGCCAACTAACCCTTGTCTTCACTTCAATGTAATATGGTCTGTCTTTTTAAAATTTCTGCCTTTTTCCTCTCTGCTGATGAGAATTCAATAATTAGGGTTAACAGTCTGACTTGAATTTCTGCGGGCGCAGTTCTCTCTTCTCTTCAGCACTCACAGATGTCAAGAGCCAAGTAAGGGCAGGGCGCACTGTGTCAGCCCCCGCTGTGCTCTCGGCGCCCGGATCCTCCTCTGGGAGCGGGAGTCTCAACACCCCCCTCGAAATGTCACGCAGGGACAAGTTAAAGGGAACAAACAACCTATTTTCCGCTAGGCTAGTTTTTGCTCAAAAAGATGCTCAGGGAGTGATTATAAAATTACGGCAACTTCTAGATGGCCAGACTTCTATCTCCCTTTCAGGAGTTCTTCTGGGATATTAGGAGAAAGAAAGAAAAAGAAAATATTCTTTTTCTTACCTGAGTTAGAAACGAATGATAGCTGTGGGAGTCAGTCAGGTGGGGATCAGAATGTCACTTGCGTAACTGGAAGGGCTGTCAGGAACTTGGTTGGGGTCTGTCAGCCAGGCGAGACAGTCCCGGCAGCACGGAGCAACAGCCGGTGCCAAGGGTGCCGCGGGCACAGCCAGGACAAGCAAGCAGACCCCATCAGAAGAGGACACAGGGCTGGACCCCCAAGGCACTGTCCTTCCCAGTGAGAGCGAGGGAGGCCGGAGAGGGGTGGGGGGACAGCAGGGGAAGGGTACGCCCCTAGCAAGCAAAGGCAACAGCTCACACGGGTTGTTAGACCTTTAGGCCAGAGGAGTGGACAGCTGGGCCTGCAGAACAGGCCAGCTGTCCCGATTACCTGCTGCTGAACAATGACGGTAGGCCTGAAAAATAAAGTATACTCAGGAGGCCAAGTTTTTATGCAGTGGGAGCCATGGCCACCTCAGCAGACTCTGTCAGAGCTGCCCAGTAACGACAAAGGGAAAACACATGGAGAATCAAGCAGGAATCAGGGATCCTTTCAGTTCTTCCTGCCTAGTGGAGCTGCGGACACTTAAGATTTAAATTCCTCTGTGTCCACTGCCGGGAGGGGCCTCTGTGTCTCCCCCTCGGGGTTCCAGCGAGCTGCTCCTCAACCCAGCCCCCTGCCTGTGTGTGTTTGCTCTAAGCAGGTCGGCTCCCCTCAGCACGGCCCCGCGACGGCGGCTCCTTCTCTGCTCATGCCCCCGCTGGTGTTCACGCAGCCCTCCTCTGCGCCAGCCGATGAAAGGGACGGCAGGCCCTTGCCTGCGGGGGGCCAGGAGCCACCTGCAGCCACCACCAGCCTCCTCCTGCCTGTGCAGAGCCCGGAGCCCTCTGTGGTCCCCAGCGGCCCGCTCACCAAGCTCCAGCTCCAGGAGGCACTGCTGTACCTCGTTCAGGTAAGAGGGGCGCGTCGTCTCCCTCCCTGCCCTCCCAACCTGTTGATCTGCTGGTTGCAACTATGAAATAAAGACTCAGTTAACTGCTGCCTATTTAGTCCTCCCCGAGAATAAGAGGGGTGTGTAGCAGCTCACCTAAAGCCCGACGGCTCCTGTGCTCGGTTAGCAAGATGACACCGAGAACGCTGACTGCAGCTTTGGGTGTCCCCACTCTTCAAGGATTTTGTAATTTGGAGGATTGTCTAAAGCCTCCACCTTGTCACCCATCAGAAAAGAAGGAAGCGTCCGCTGATAATGAAGCCGCCACCGCGAGGACTCTGGGTGCTGCAGGGCCCCCGAACAGAGAACTTGCCAGTGGGCAGCAGAGGTTAGAGCAGCCCGGGCGGGCAGCGTCTGCTGAGCGAATGCCAGTGGACTGTTGGACGGGAGGGCACAGGTGGGGAGCGAGTGATGGCCGTGGCTACCGAGGGCATATTGTGACAAAAACCTTTGAAACCTGCTCATTATCAGGACTCCTGGTAACGGGATTCCTTGTCGGCCCCTTGTCTCACTGTCTATGAAATAATGAGACAACGGTGGTGTGCTGGGCACTGTTTTAAGTGCTGCACACATATCGACTCACTCGGTCCTTCGACAACAACCCTGTTATTTTTCCTTTTCTACGGACAAGGAAACCGAGGCTGAGCGACTGGCCCGAGGCCTCGCGCCGCTTGTAAATAAGCACAGTTGTGCGTGCATTTTACTCTTCCCGTGCCCTAGACATCATCCTCCTGGTGCACTGCCAGGAGTCACTCAGCAGCCTGTTTTTGGTCTTGGCCTGTTGTTAAGACACAATCTCTTGCACAGGAACTTAGTGGCTACTTTGCAGGGAAATCTGGGATAGCATCATGCTCGTCATTGCCTGAGAATAATGCTAACTCTGTGTGGGGTGCCAAGAGGCAGTGAAAGGGGGAATGTGAAATGTGGGTGAATTACTGACACTTTACAGAATTTGAGTGGGAGGGAGAAGTATCTAGAATTAAAAATCAAGAAAACCGGGCTGGGCTCAGTGACTCATGGTGGTATTCCTAGCACTCTGGGAGTCTGAGGCAGGAGGATCCCTTGAGCCCAGGAGTTTAGGTTGCTGTGAGCTAGGCTGACGCCACAGCACTCTAGCAAGAGACTCTGTCTCCAAAAAAGGAAAACCACTGATTAGACCATGATCGCCTCTCACCCCTCAGCCAGGCAAAAGAGCCCAGAGACTACCAGCCTAACTCTTGCCCATTTGCCAAGGCCAGAAATGTTCCATAACTCACGGGAAGGATCATACTGGCTTTTATGAGATACCGACGAAGCCTACTGTGAGTGGAACCCTAATTAATGCCGAAAGCAGAGTAGACACAGTGCGGGCGCCGTGGAGGGCCTGGGAGGGCTGCGGCAATCTCTCACGCACACTGAGCGCCCTGACCCGGACCCTGTCCTCCCAGCGCGCCCATCTGCTGGAGAGGTGTGTCTCTCATGGCAGACCCCGGCCTTTCTCGAGTGAAACTCGTTCCGCACGGCCGCGTGCAGGGCTGCCCATCGGGCTGCACGGAGTGGGCACGGGCGCTCCACATACTGGCCGTCGAAAAGCAGCAGCACCGTCCAGCCTCGCCTCCAGCCCCACGTGCCCTGCACACGCGCAGTCAGAAACTCCCGGCTGGCAGATCAAGCAGTAGAGACGAGCATCGCAGAATCCAAATGCCAGTTCCGCTCCCAGACAGAGGAGACTTGTGTTTCTGCCAACCAAGTTACATTTCTTTGGATCTTTTGATTTTGTTTTCCAGAACGACGACAACTTCTTAAACATAATCTACGAAGCCTATCTCTTCAGCACGACACAAGCAGCCATGAGAAAGACTGTGTGAAAGCAAATCCTTTTACAACCGATTTTCAAGGTCCTTCTAGAATTCCAGCACGAGGTTCTTTCATTGTCAGCTGGTGTTACCCTAAATGTTTCTGCCTTTTTAAAAAAGCATATGTAATATGAAGTAAAATGTTTCAGACTTTTTTTGTATAGTCAAGTGGTTTTTTGTTTGTTTTTGTTTTGTTTTTTTAAATCACATCCTTCAGTACACCTGGTACTAAGAATTGCATGGGTAGGAATGTCCTTTGCTCAGGTCACACAAGCTTAATTTATTTTTTTATTACACATACGGGACCGTTTTTAGAAGAATCAGCCCCTCTGCAGGAAGGGCTGTTCTTGGAGCTTAGTTTAACTGTGTGTTTATTAATAGCTCTGGTTAGTCTTTGAGCACAGCCTGTGAGCTCCCTGTTGCGGAGCTCCGTGTGCGCAGTGCGTGCGCACCACCAGGTGGCAGTGTCATCCCACAAGTTAATTACAAAGATGCAATGAGCCTTTGGACGTGATGGTGGTCTTCTTTCACCAAAGTACACCTGCCATTTGTAAAAATCCAGTTGGCATGTTTTACCCAGTCCTTTGAAAGGAGATTATTTCTAAAGGTATTGTTAGCTAGTTTCTAGAGGATGGCTGTTCTAGGAGTCCACAAATAGCCCAGATTTCCAGCGACACTTCACCCGTCCCAGTTAATGTTATTTCTTTTAGACCCAAGCAGCCGGATGCGCCTGCCAGTGCTTCCAAATGAACATTAGATCCTTTTCAGCAGAACGTGCTGGGGGGAGGTCACAGAAGATTGTAAAGCCTTTTCTTGGCCTGTACAAATGGTTAGTGGGTGTTCAGGAGCATAATGACAAGGATTCCTCGAGCTATGCAGCAGATTGATTTGTATGTGCACAGAGATGAGGAGCTTAATCTTGGAAGGAGTCAGGAGAGCCCTTGCCAAGCTGTTAAGGCCCAAAAGACTTGTGTATGGGGATTAGTCCCTGCTGAGTCTTAGTAATAAATAAAGCTTTGCGTTTCTATAGCCCTTTTTATTCTTGGATCATAAAAAGATCTTTAGATAACTGCACAGCAGACAGGTTTTATTATCATTTTATAGCTCATAAAATGAAGATATGAAGAAAATAGGTTTCCTTACAGTTTCTGATACCTAGACTTGGACTTTAAGCTTTAGACCTTCGTTCAGCCGCACCGTCAAGCAAAAGGTTTACCGGAACACCGTCTCCCCCACTCCTCTCCTGCAGGACGCCACGTTTCCTTCTAAGAAAAGGTGGGCGGAAACGGATTTCACTTTTCCTGACCCCTTGTTGTGTGCCATACTTTAGCTGAGGAGTCTACTGTGTTTTCCTCTGGCATTTAGGAAGGGATGAGTTCTTTTGTTTCTTTGGTATCTCCTACAACATCTAGCCCAGTGATAAACCCACATGAAGTTCTCACAAAATACTTGAAATTAATAATTGCATATGTAATATCTCAATGTTCTTATAAGGAGAATGGAGTGGGAAGAGAGACACATATGAATCTGTTATCCCAAAATCAGTAACAGCGCTTGCTTCAGCAACATGTGTACAAAAAGTGGAACAAGGAGGAGCCAAGATGGCGGACGAGAAAAGCCGCCAGTCAGTGTCTCTGCAAAAAAGACAGATTTTAGAAGAAAGTGAAAAAAATAAGCTAGCAGAGAAACATAGATCGGGTGAGGGTCGGAAGGAAGGGTGCCCGAAACCGCAGGAGACTCCACGGGAAGACATCGCGGAGGAGAACTGGAAGGAGAAAGGTCCCAAGAGGCTTGGAGACCAGCGACAAGGGTAGGTGGAGCGGTTAACTTCCCCCTCCCTTGCATCTCAGACTGCTGGTGGCTCCTGAGCGGCTGGAGAGACCTGCTGACACCAGCCCAGAGACGGCTGCCGCCAGCGAGCGGTGGCCTCTTGTGGACACAGCACCGGGCTCCCAGCCCCCTCGGGGCACCTCCCTGCACGTAGACCCGAGCCTATGGGCAGACACCATTATTACTCCATTCTCTCCTTCCCCTTCCCTCTCCGTGGGTGCCCAGAGAGACAATTTAGCCATCACACGGAGGCATCTCCAAGGAAGGGGACCTTTCCTTTTGGGGCCCTACAGCAGACTGAGGGGCACTCAGACTGAGAGCTCCCTACCCGCCAGCCCTCCCAGGTGCTGTTTGCTGGTGGCTCCAGGAGAATGGGGCAAATCCCGAGGTGGAGTGAAATCAATCCAGCTTGGGCACCCTGTAGGTGATTCGAAACTAGCACCCCTCCACCTCGCAGGGTCAGGAATTGATCTCCAGGGCCCAGGGGACAGGCCTGCAGATCAGACCCTGTACACCCAGGTCATGATTGCACTGCCCTGGGGCACAGAAGGGATATCTGTGAAAGAGCCTACTGAGGAGTGTGCGCCTTCAAGGGCAGATCAGCGTGCCTGAGCGGCAACCCTCCTCCCAAAAGAGGGCTGTGCACCCAACTCAGGCTGCGATCCTGGGCAGGAAACCTGGCCCACATCACAGCCAGGGGAGATCCATTGGCCTGAGGTCCTGCTTGCTGGCAGAGGCCTGGGAGAAGCCACAGAGAGCGGGAGAGTGGAGAGGAGTGAGACCTGCTCCAGAGTGCGGGTCTCGGACAGACCCACCCCCCAAGCCCAGACTTTTCAGCTGAGTGGAGCCATTTCAGCCCCTCCCAGCAGCTTTGCACAGAACTCAAGAACAGCCCTTTGATCCCTGCTAACAGCAGTTGTGGAGCCTGAGGGCAGGCTTACCCAACCCAGCCCCACCCAGACTCACTCCAGGACCTGCCCCCACTGAGGTGGAGAATAAGGGCACACCTGGAAGTCCCAGGGCCCCACCCACCACCTGATGCACAAAAGGGCCTCTCCAGAGGAACAAGAGCTGGTCACAGGACCCAAAAACAGCACTGCAGCTCGCTCCTCCCAGCAAGTGCCACCTACTGACAGGGAGGTCATTCTATACACACTTTTACTGCATCTACTGATTCATCATAAAGAGCGTGGTCGAATCTCACCACAAACACCACCTACTGGCTCAGAGACTAAACAGGGCATGTCATTATTCAAACGAAAATCTAAAGGCAAGAAGGAACAGCTGATCCAGATGGGAAGGAACCAGCGAAAGAACTCTGGAAGTATCAAGACTCAAACGGAAAGCACACCCCCAAAGAGCAACAACAGCTCCCCAGCAATGGACATTAACCAAACTCAGAACACTAAAATGAGAGAAGAAGAATTGCAAACATGGATTGTAAGAAAACTGAATGATATGCAAGAAAAAATGGATAACCAACACAAAGAAACCACAAAAAAAAATCAAGGACTTGGAAGAAAAATTCACTAAAGAAATTGAAATATTAAAGAAAAATCAAACCGATCTCCTGGAAATGAAGGACTTATTCAGGGAACTA